GTTAGTCAGTCAGTCAGTCAGTCAGTCAGTCAGTAGGTCAGTCACTCGCAGGTCAATCACTAAGTAGGTCAGTCAATCAATGAGTCAGTCGATCAGTGAGTCATTCATTAAGACAGTCAGTCTGTCAGTCTTTGAGACAGACAGTCAGACACTCAGTCAGTCAGTCAGTCCAGTATTCAGGCAATCAGTCTGTTAGTCCGTTAGTCTGTCAGTCTGTCAGTCCGTCAGTCCGTCAGTCTGTCAGTCCGTCAGTCTGTCAGTCCGTCAGTCCGTCAGGCCGTCAGTCCGTCAATCTGTCAGTCTGTCAGTCTGTCCGTCTGTCAGTCTGTCAGTCTGTCAGTCTGTCAGTCTGTCAGTCCGTCAGTCCGTCAGTTTGTCAACAAGCCATAAATTAGAATTCTGTATGGTGTAACTTACTTGGAGGTTTAAGTCTCAGCGAAGTAGTTATCTTGTTGACAACCGCTTGGATTATATCCCAGCCTGCAACTCGGTTAGGAAAATTGTGATAGTCTCAGGCTACTAGTAAGCCCATGGCAGTTTTGTCCTCTGGATAAACCAAGGATGCAGAAACATGACTGACTCCTTCGTATCGATAAACTGTACGACTTAACACAAAACTACTTTGGTAATCATATGAGGGAAGGTAACTATCTTTGGGAATCAAAGGGAGGGAATAAAATTTTAAGTAATCCTCGCTTATTCTTTTAGATTTCAGCTCCAGTTCTACGCGATAACCATCCGACAGCACGCTATACAAAACATCTTTGTTCTTCGTTGTAACCACGTTTTCGTCAGAATATGGTGATAAGTGCTGCGAACTGATCAGTTTGAAGTCCTTGTGTTGCAAACTCTTCCAAAAAACTTGAACAAAGCCATCCCAGGTGCCTTGTTTATGAAGAACTTCGATGTAATATTTACTGCCTTTGCGAAGCTTTATATCTTTCGAGATTTGGTCAGGATATTTATGCAACTGATTTAGCTTGGCCCACGCGGCTACACCTTCTTTGAACACTCTGGCAATCAACTGTTTTTGGTTTGGATCTTCACTTGAACTAAGCCATAACTCTGACGAATCATCGGAGACTATTGCAAAACGGTATGGCATGGTGATCGGTGGGTTAACGAAACCAAAAATAAGCTGACCATAATCTATTCCGTGATCTTCAATCTGGAACTTGGTAATAAGGCTCCTGAAGTTTTCATCGGGGTAACGAGGAAAAAATAAAGATTTCCGTAAGTTCGAGATGTCTGCTCCACACAACCCTCGCCAGATGTAAACATCCAGTGCGCTAAAAGTTGGTTTTGTAGGGGAAGTGGCATTCGCTGTGTGGTCTGCAATCGTTAAGTTGTAGTTTACCACTTCCATCTTATAGATCATTTGCCGGCATCTGTTTCTGAGGAAGGTTCAACACATAGTGCCAAATAAAACAGGCTAACAGGACCGTGATCAAGAGAAGAAACTTTCCAAGTCTTTGAAGCTTGCGCGGTCGAAGAAGTGTTTGAATAGCCGCCATAAGTTTGCCAGAAGTGCTTTAGTCAAATGGCAGCTTACAGGACTGATTTGGATTGTGAAGTTTCCTGATTTTTGAGTGCGTCTACAAGTGAAACACAAGAGAACTTGGGACCTTGATAACGACCTAAAAAGATAAAATAGGCATTAATCAACAACAAACTTGCATTCAAAAGTTTTTTGAGAGAGGCCGCTTTCAGTCATAACAGCCAAGGAAATCCCCTTAGAAATTAGATTACAAACCTCTTTAAACCTACATAGCGATCGATTTTAAAGTTGCTAAAGGAGCTCAGTCACGGTGTTTTGTCTCGTTTTTGGCCACGTACAAAATCTCCTTTAAATGGAGGGAAACCTGAAAATAATAGTTTACTAAGATAGAAAAACATCAAAGAGATAATAATAAACCATAAAAGAACAAGGATGGTCAAGGATGGCGAAGATTGACACCGATTGCAAACGACGAATTTGAAAAATTTAGGCTAAACTTTTCAAAATGTGCAAACCATGACTGAGCTCCTTTAAACTTCTGACGTCTATATATAAAACACCTGAGCGAGGTCAGCGACGGAATTCATTTAGAAGTATTCAGGTGAAGACTTCCTGTCCTGGCTTTTAAATTAGTAAAGGAAATGTTCTTTTGATTTCTGACAACACTGATATGCGTGACCAATGACTAAATCAGTGTGTTCCTTGGAAGCACTGCACGTGATCAACTGTTGCAGAATGTCTCATCCTTCCTTTGTCGAGTTGAAACGGCGTAAACGTTCAGGGCTGGGTTGTTCAAAAGCCGGATAAAGCTAGCCCTGGAATAAAGGATTAATTTTTCTTGTATAAAAATGTCTTTCACTGCTTATGTTTTGTGTAGTCTGAGATCATTCCAACTCAAAACTGAAAGACAAACAATATAAACAGGAAACCTCACCGAAAAGTTGCAAAACAAAATTAAAATTCTTACTAATCCTGGGTTAGTTTACTCGGGCTTTGAGCAACCCGGCCTGGAGGAGTCAGCTTTGCTTCAGGCTTCCAACCGAATAAAATTCCAACTTAAAGCTATAGCACATTGTGTCTAGAGTGGAAAGCAGCGCTCAGTTTTCAGTGATTACAATTTCAGTATTGCCTGAAAGTCGTGAAGCTTGTAATCTCTTTTGCGACGTAGTGTCTACCTCAGTCCATCGAGCGGTTCTGTCAAAGATAGGAGACATCAGTAAAATGGAAATGCCTGTCATTATAGAAACAAAGTAAACAAAAGTACTCCCGGACAGGAAAAAGCGACAGTCGATGCATATAAAACGGCAAGCTTGATAGCTTTGGTAACACCGTGAGATTTAAACAAAAAATCAATAAATGTCAATGTATTTTAGGTTTTGGCAACGGTAAATTTCAAAGTGTAAAACTTCAACTTTTGCTCTCGTTTTTTGGAGTTTTGAAAATTTAGGTGCTCTATGTCGGACCATTCAATCTGGCTAATATTACGTTTAGTGTATGGGTTCCATACAGAGGTAACTTATTCTAATTGCGGGCAGACAAGAGTAGTATAGGCTTTCGATTTCACATCTGTAGTGCAATACTAGTCACCTAGGACTCTTCTCAGAAGACCCATATGCTACAAATGAAGTCACTATGTTCATGCAAGGGGTTCCAATTAAGTTTCTGGTTTACACTTATGCCCAGATATTTTGTTGAGACTGCTCTGGTGATGGTCTAGCCATTCATTACATAATCATGACAAAATTCTGTAAACAGTTTTGCGCATGCCTCGTGTTCCTGACTAAAACACCACACGAGTACATACGAGTAACATACGAGTAGCATACGAGTAACATACGAGTAACAAAAGAGTACGTAAGAGTAACATACCGGTAACATACGAGTACATACGAGTACATACGAGTAATTAACATACGAGTACATACGAGTACATACGAGTAATTAACATACGAGTACATACAAATACATACGGTAATATACTGGCTATATACCAATACATTTGTTACATACGAAGACATTGGAACCTGTATAGGTATATAACCTGTATATTACGTTATGTATCTGTATGTACTCGTATGTTACTCGTATGTAGTCGTATGTTCCTAGTGTGTACTCGTATGTTACTCGTATGTACTCGTATGTTACTCGTATGTACTCCTGTGTTACTTGTATGTTACTCGTATTTACTCGTATGTTACTCGTAAGTACGCGTATATTACTCTTGTGTACTCGCATGTTACTCGTATGTACTCGTGTGGTGTCTTAGTCACGATCGTGCTTCGAGCCGTTTGCAAGTTTCCCACGCAGGAATTGAGAGGTCAATTAAATCGACTTTTAATGGTTTCCTTTTCGTCTGTTCTTGAGATCACTTCGTGTGTATATAGTAAAACAATTATTCTGTACAATCTCCGTGAATAGCGACAGGATATTTAATTCGCCGCTTCGTGGATCGGTAAATATTCCGCCACTATTCAGCTCTATTTCAAATAATTAGTTTTTGGCGACGGTAAATTTTACAGAGTAACTTCAACTTTTCGTTCCCAATTTTGTCGTTATTCGAGGCCATTTTCTAACAACGATTTTGCTTAAGAATATTTAGGAGAAATTTACTCTCAATTGTTCGAACTGCCGAGTTTTCGACATCCAGACCCTTGGAGCGCTTTGACATGACGCCGCGGAAGCTAGCCATACAATCAAACGGCGGCCATGTTAGTGTACCAAACCAATCCTGTGGGAGTTAAACTCATCTTGTTTTTGTTAATTAATGTAAACAATTTTTTCTGTTGACTGCTAGCCGCGTAAGTGATAAAGTTCCCTGGGGTGCTTTCATTAAATTACATTGAAATTTTTTGTGAGATATGGTGGATTAAAGATATGCAGGAGAAGATAAGGTTAGGATTAGGGATAGGGTTAGGGCCCTGAAAATATCGTTTGAGTCACGAAATCGTACTTTTTTTTCTTTTTCTTCCTTTTTTCAAACCCGTTGATTTAAATGAATTTACGTGAGTTATTTGCTATACGTAGATGTATATATTACGTACATAAAAAGAAGAAAAGCAAACAAAACATTTTTTAATTTGGTACTCTTGACAACGGTCTCGATTTTCACAAGCACGCGAAGCGAAGTGCAAATTATTTGTGGGAATAAAAGTTAAAAAAGTTAAATTCTTGTTGCATAACTTGGAATAATGTTTTTACCAGTTGATATATGAACCTAATTTCAACCACTATTGTACTCCGCAAAATCCATGGGTTGTGTTTTCTTTGACTATTTGACGATATATATAGAGTCAACTTTGACAAGTGTGTGGTGATCACTCGGTAATCATTTATACCTTTCTGATCCCCAGGCGGTAACCAATCATTGTGTAAAATACGTTGTTGACTGACTGCTTTTGCGAATCAAACAGGAAAAGAACGCGTTGTCATTCACTGCCCCTATTTATATTAGGGCGTTTTAGCAATAGAGAGGTTAGGCATGATTAGAAAGGTTAAGAATGACGTTTACGGCAAACGGCAAACGGCAAAAATGAAACTTTTGCCGGCTCTCCTCAGCTGTGTGTACAGTAGAGTGAAATTATTTGTATTTGCAAAGAATAGTAGGAGGCGTTATTCTATTTTTGTGTGCTTTATTTACCGATTAAAAGAAAAGAACTCAAAGTCAGAACTTATCATTGCCGTTTGCCGTCTCCCGTTGACGTCATGCTTAACCTCTCTAAGGCGACGCCGGGTACGACGCCTTGTAAAATATGTATTCATACTTTACCTTCGAATGTCACAACTGTCTAAATCTGTTAAGTACGCGCGCTTATCCGTCTAAAAACTTGCTTAGGCTAAACATGCACCGACAGCGTTCAATTCCAAAAGAACACACTAAAAATTAGCCATTGCCGGTTCGCCTTCTCCAAGATAGGCAGAACATGGTCATTTTCACCTTGTTGTTTTGCAGAGGACGGCAAAGAAATGTACAAAGATTCAAAACGCACTTGCAGAACCATTGTCCTACTCATTAATCCTTTGTTTGGTGACGCTCTCGTTGCCGTCGTCGTCGTGGTTTGCTAAAGCTCCCTATTACCCTCGTTATTCAGTTCGGCAGCAGGCCAAGACCAAGCGAGTACGTTTCCACCTCCCATCTGGCACGAAAGAAGTGACCGATTTATTTCTGCAGCAGGCAATACGAAGTTCCATAACTGGACACTTGTTATTTCACCAATAAAACTCTGGTGACCCGCATATTCACCAGCTGCTAAGTCTTGACCTTGACCCAGTATCAGTACTCCTCCTTGAGCTATTACGTGCCCTATAATAAGAAAAATAGGATTTAGGCATGGAGTGAAGTGCAGGTCAGCGGGCAGGTTGAATTTACGTAGAAAATTTGAATTGATTTTAGTTTGATTTCACGAAATTCGGTGTTTTAATCAATACCTTCCCAGCGGAGTTCAATTTTTTTATTCTTTGAAATTTGTCTAATTGTAGATTAAGAAAAACGGTACTGGTCATTCAAGTGCTAAATTGTGATTAAGGTGGAAATGATTAAAAAACTCTTCGTCAAGAAGTTAGAAACTTGGATTGTTTACAGATGCCCCAGATGACTTCAAATTCAGAAGATGCGCTGTATTAGATCTTTTTTTTTAAATAACGTTAATATTCCGATAATGTCCCGGCCGATGAGTACAATGAGAGTTTCAGAAACTCGCACGAGCACTTTTGCCCCTGTGTCTCTTTTGTAGCTAGATGAGTACCTCAGTAAGAAAAATCAGACAAAGCACTTAAAAAAGAATGTAGAACGTAACATGGATAGTAGCTCTCCTACGTGACCACTTCAGAAATTCGATTAAGTGGCTCCCCACGATGTACAATAAGGAAAATTGCTATATACACCTTGACAAGTTTCTTTGAGACGTCCAGTGAATTAAATCTTACAATCTCCATCAGTGATTGGATTGAGAAGGAAAAGGTCATACCTCTTTGCAAATCTCGACCTGTTGCCACGACTACGCCATTTTAAAGCAGCTGCCATGATCCAGTGACACTCTCCCACGTGGCGCAGATATGATTCCAGGTCTCATCCGTAGCAGATATGGTGGACCTCCTAAAATTAGTTGTATCCTTGAATAATTTTTACACACAAAGTTCTAGACTCTCAATTCAAGTAAATTCATTTTCTAGAATCGAAAGAAAAATTTGGAATGAAATGCCTATATATTTCAGAAAGCTTCCAAAAAATGTCTTTAAGAGGAAAATAAAACAAATACTTTTTGAAATTCTAGCTTCAGAAGACTGTTATATTGATCTTACAGAAATCGTTCAAAAAGTAAGCTGAATTTATTTTCCTCCTAGTATGTATTCATTAATACTCAATAATTTCGCTTTAGTGTATCTGTAGTATCTCGTCGTAACTGTTGTTAATTATTATTTGTAATATCGTTAGTTTATTAGTTGTCTTTAGTCATTGTTGTCAATTCTAGTCTCTTTAGTTCTCTTGTT